AAGAAAACAAAACATTATTGATAATTCTCTAATGTTATCCTCATGTTACAGATGAGGTTCTGGGAGGTTAACTTGCCCCAAATCACAGTTGGTAACAAAAGGCAGGATCTAAACCCAACAACGTGCCATACTGCATTATCCTAAAGCAAAGAAACTTAACGATGGTAATGTCCACGCTGGGCTTGGTATGTAGCAGGCACTTCATAAAATCTATTTTATTTTTCACAATCTTATTATCATCTCATTTAGGCAAATAAGGAAGCTGAGACCCAGAAAGGCTGAGGCCAGACCTGCAAATGATGGGGCCAGGATTTGAACCCAGTTGGCCTAGGCACAGAGCCCTTCTCCATGTAGCCTATAAATTCTCAGTGTGTCAATCAAGCCAAATATCACCTACTGCATTCCTAATGTTTCTAACTTTACCCGGAAAAATCTCTACTTAGACTGGCCCTGGCCAAATCTCTGCTAACTTAAAGACCTGGTATTCCAACACCAAACCCGTCTTGAAAGGAAAATACTGTGGGATCCCTGGGTGGCTCAGCGGTTTGGCGTCTGCCTTCCGCCCAGGCGGTGATCCTGGAGACCCAGGATCGAGTCCCACATCAGTTCCCTGCATGGAGCCTGCTTCTCCCTCTGCCTCTCTCTGTGTGTCTCTCATGAATAAATAAAATTAAGTAAAACAAAGGAAAATACTTATTGGGTAGCTCAGGATGGTGATGCTTTTTAAGGGGCATCAACTGTCACTTTCAAAACGGGCACTGAAGAGGCTGTACACCACGTAAATTAGAAGAGAACACGCAGGGATGTTCTCTCCCCTGACGGCCACCACTGACCTTTGGAGAACACTGGGGTCTGGCCTGTGAGCTGCTCCAGCACCTTGGCCGCGCGGGTCAGTCTGTCTCCACTCTCCCCCACACAGATGTTGAGGCAGAGTTTGCGGATGCGAAGCTCCCGCATGGGGTTCTCCTTTTCACCTTGATCCTGCTGCAACGAGGGAAGCGCAGCAGTCAACACGCCACCCCGCCGCAGCTCCGAGTCCCACATCTGTAGACACCGCCTACCTAGTTCTGCTCATCCCGGTTCCTAACGACAGCCCAACGGGCTTGCAAAGCATCGCGGTGTCTGTGCACCAGCTCGGGAGCTGGGCTCCCCCTCCACGCCAGGAATGGACGAACAGAAACTTGGGGCAGGTAGCGGGAGTTCGAACCCCAAGGGGCTCACCCCCGTAAGGTGTCGGAGCGCGCGTCCCCGCTACAAAGCCGACGGGCAAGAAAATAGGATTTAAACGCCGCTGAGGAAACAGGAAGCGCGTGGTTGGGCGACGTCCCCCATTCCTTTCGGAAGCAGCCCGGGGGGCAGAGGGCAGGCGCCCTCCTCGAGCGGAGGGGCGGGCTGCGGCTCCTAAGCACCCGGCAAGCCTCAAGTCCCCGGGACGGGGGAACAGGTCCAGACGCCGTGCGCCAGCCCCTCCGTTCGCTCCGCTCGCCCTCCCCGCAGCTGACGCGCCGCGCTTCCGAGCCCTCCCGGCGGCCGCCCCCAGCCGGCTGAGGAGCGGGAGGGGAGGGGGCAGGTTTCGGCTCCGCGGCCTCGGCCCGCATGGCTCTGCCAGTTCCGCCACGGCGAGCCTTACGGGCTCCCTTCTCCGGCCGCGGACGAGGCAGCTCCCGCCTCGGATGAAGGCGGATGGAGGCGGATGAAGAGAAGCAAAGCAGGGCCTCAGCTACTCACCGCCATGGTGGAGAACAGGAAGAGAGGGCGAAGCTTCCGGCCCAGGGCCTTATGGGTCAGGAGGCGGGCTCTCTCCCCAGGCTGCCCCGCGGGCCGCGGCGGGCGGAGGGCGGAGGGCGGGCGGCGCGGGCCTCGGTCCGGTGGGCCCCGGGACGCGGGTTTTCCAAAAATAGATTTTTAAAGCTCCCTGAACGGGCTTTTCCTTGAGCTTCCGGTCTCCACGGGCGCCCTTCCCTCCCACGGTCTCCGGACCTCGTGGTTCCTGGCGGGAACCGACTTCCAGAGCCACGTGAAATCAGTCGTGCAAACCGCCAAGTAGGGGATCCCTGGGGGGCTCAGCGGCTCAGCGCCGCCTTCGGCCCGGGGCGTGACCCTGGAGACCCGGGGTCGAGTCCCGCAACCGGCTCCCTGCACGGAGCCTGCTTCTCCCTCTGCCTCTCTGTATCATGAATAAAATAAAATCTAAAAAAAAAAAAAAAAAAAATCTTAAAGAATTTATTCGGTGACAATGTGAACAGTGGAATTGAACAGAGGTGGCTGAAGAGCCCTGAGCTGTGGAGACGCAGTGGTGCTCTAGCTAACCCAGTACACGACCCCGGCCAGGTTACTAATTAGACCCTCTTTGAGCCTCAGTTTTCCTCAACTTTAAAATGGGTACCAGAATTAATATTGTGAAAATGTCAATGTTACCCAGGGCAATTTACACGTATAATGCAATCCCTATCAAAATACCATGGACTTTCTTCAGAGACTTAGAACAAATTATTTTAAGATTTGTGTGGAATCAGAAAAGACCCCAAACAGCCAGGGGAATTTTAAAAAAAGAAAACCATATCTGGGGGCATCACAATGCCAGATTTCAGGTTGTACTACAAAGCTGTGTTCATCAAGACAGTGTGGTACTGGCACAAAAACAGACATATAGATCAATGGAACAGAACAGAGAACCCAGAAGTGGACCCTGAACTTTATGCTCAACTAATATACGATAAAGGAGGAAAGACGATCCACTAGAAGAAAGACAGTCTCTTCAATAAATGGTGCTGGGAAAATTGGACATCCACATGCAGAAGAATGAAACTGGACCACTCTCTTGCACCATACACAAAGATAAACTCAAAATAGATGAAAGATCTAAATGTGAGACAAGATTCCATCAAAATCCCAGAGGAGAACTCAGGCAACACCCTTTTTGAACTTGGCCACAGTAACCGGAGAAGGACAAACAGTGTATGTTCTCATTCATTTGGGGAATATGAATAATAGCGAAAGGGAATATAAGGGAAGGGAGAAGAAATGTGTGAGAAATATCAGAAAGGGAGACAGAACATAAAGACTTCTAACTCTGGGAAATGAACTAGGGGTGGTGGAGGGGGAGGAGGGTGGGGGGTGGGGATGAATGGGTGACGGGCACTGAGGGGTACACTTGACGGGATGAGCACTGGGTGTTATTCTGTATGTTGGTAAATTGAACACCAATAAAAATTAATTTATAAAAAAAAAAAAAAAAAAAAATAAAATGGGTACCTAGACCACAGGAGATTGTTGTGAAAGTTAAATGAAGTAATTGTGTAGAGCACGCATAAGGGGTTACTCTTTTATTTTTTTGATTATCTATTCATGAGAGACAAGAGAGAAGCAAGAGACAGGCAGAGGGAGAAGCAGGCTCCATCCCAGGATCCCCTGGATCACAACCTGAGCTGAAGGCAGACGCTGAGCCTCTGAGCCACCCAGCTGCCCAATAAGGGATTTCTCTTAATATAAACCCACTATATCCAAGCAACCCCCTTCCCCCCCCCAAAAAAAAAATGTTAGACGTGGTGTATAATCAACAGTCATCCTGCACGCCCAAAGATGGCTTGCAGATTAGTCTGACAGACAAAGACTCTGCTGGCAAACAATAAGCCAGCTCTGCTGGCTTCCCGGTTTACACTAATTCTCAGCAGCAGCACAGCAGGGAGAACCTGGCATTGAATCCACCAGTTTCTTTAACAGGAATAAATAGCCAAAGGACTTTGGTGGAAAAGGAGACAAGCCTCTCACTTCTACCATTATTCCCTTCTCCCATTGCTACAGGGTAGGTTAAGCCCCCAGGTTCTCCTTGTTTCATCCAATAGGCACACATGGGACTTCTGGGAAGCTGGGCTGCTGGAAAAGAGTAAAGAGACACCCCCCCCCAACACCCCGCAACCACACTTTTGATTTTCCTCCATCAGGCACCCACCGACTAGCCCAGAGCGGAGGCCTCAACCAAACCTCTGGGAGGAACGGAGCCAAGGGAGGGGCTGCTCCAAAGCTTGGAATAAAGAGCTCAGACTGCTGAATGCAACATAGGACCTTGGATTTTCTTTTGCTATAAAGCATGTTTTTGGAATAATTGACAAAAATCTGAATCGGGTCTGCAGATTTCAGAAGTGTATCCATGTTAGTTTAATGTCCTCTTTCTGATGACTTGACCTTGGTTGTATCAGAGAATATTTTTGGGTTTGAGAAATACACCTGTAGTATTCGCTGTAAAGGGCCATCATGTCTGTAACTTACTCTCAAATAAGGGGGAAAAAATGTGGTAAGATTTGGGGAATCTGGGTGAAAGTTGCCTCTTGCAACTTTGTAACTCAAATTGTCAAACTGAAGTTAAAAAAAAAATAACCTGAGGGAACTATGTATCTAGAAAATATAAAAACAGGCTCATTCCCTTCCCCTCAACTTTTTTCAAACCGAACTTCCCAGAAATAGTACCTCCTTGCCTCCAGCTCCCACACCATGTTAATGAGAGTGGCTAATTACCATGCCCAGCAATTACCAGCTCACTCAAAGTTCAGCATCCCTTTGGAGGCAGATACTATATTGTTTTTCCATTTTACAAATGAGCACACAGAGAAGTTCGGTAACTTTTATAGACGCTATTCAAGTCAGTTTAGCACCAGAGTTCTGTTGTAGGAACTGAAGAGCTTGGCCAGGGCTAAAAGCTGCCCTAGACTTCCTCCTTTACACTTTTTCCTCCTCGTGACTCTAGCTCTCTGGTTCTTGCACCAGTCAAGCACCAGAAGGAAGCTGAGGTGTGGAATTAGACTGAGCAACCCACCTGCTTCCTCCTTGCTTACAGCATCGAGGTCAGTAGAGGCAGAGGCAAAGACTTGGTGTGCTTTATTCCCATGCCTCAAACTCATCAGCAAAAAGAAAAGTGCATTAGCAGGGGTTTAAGACATTTTAGTCAAGAGAAGAGTAAGTCTAACTCTCCGTGAGCTCTTCTTTTCCAGCCGTGGCTTCTTCTGGGCTGCCCTCTCCTGGAAAGGTCTAAAGTAGTCGTCACCACTCACTTCTTGGCTGCCTTCGTGGCAGACTTGGTGATTTTGCCACCAGTCGCTGCTTTTTTCTCCACAGCCTTGATGACCCCAACAGCCACTGTCTGCCTCATGTCACGAACAGCAAAGCGGCCTAGGATACAGGACATGAAGAAACAGGTGGAGAACACTAGCAGGGCAGGAGCTATTATAGGACACTGGCATGGGAGGTCAAGTAAGTGATACTCTGAATAATACATATAAGTGCATGCAATTATCTCAACAACTCAAAGTAGAGCTCATGATAGCTGTTTTGCAGTTGGGAAAACTGGGGCAAAGAAGCAGAAGGTCACTTTGCTGTGATGGTTGAAAACCCAGAATGTCTCACCCCAGCACTTATGTTCTTAGCCACTGGACTGTCCTACTTCCTTAAGTAAAGGTCACAGAGAAAACTTTGCTTTGGGTGCACCCACCACCCTACCATACTAATGCTTCCAGCCTCCAAGCAACTAGCATCTTCTCTGTGCCCATCACAACAACTCGTAGGATGTGTCTCATTTACACTCAACTGTGAATCTGGCAATTGCTTCTCCTGGGGGGTACTTGAGTGCTTCTCTAACTTCAAGTTGTGGAGGGCAAGGCTTTGGCATACGGTTTCAATCTCATAGTATTTTTGTCAGAGGTAGAAAGAACCAAACCCACTTTGCAAGATTCCAGTGGCAGCCTCTGTGGCCCACCTCTAAAATTTTGAAATTCACCCCCTTCCCCATTAACTGGGAGACCCTGATGGCAGGGACTTCTTGGTTTATAAATATCATATAGCACTTTTATATATTGCCTACTCCCTATATATGAATTTTGAACATTCTAGATTAATTGTTCAGACCTAACCATGTATAATCTACTTGGAGGATCTAAGACTCCTAGCCTGCAGCCTCGACCTGGTGAATCTATCAGGGTCTGAGCCTCTGGATTTAATAGGGTCCGTCAGTGGTTCTGATTATCTACCAGGTTTGAAAACCACTTCACTGGAGAATAAGAAGGAAAAAGAAAATCCCTACTAATCTCTGCTCTGTTCACCTCTTCTAGATCAGGGTTTCTCAAGTTGATGTGCATCCCAATTACTTGGGGGTCTTGTTAAACTGCACATTTGACTTCAGCAGGTCTGAAAAGGGAGTCTGAGGTTCTTCATTTCTAACCACCTCCCAGAGGATGCCTGTGCTCCTGGTCCACAGACCATACTTGGAGTACAAGTCTCTGAAGTGGCCCCTGCCTTGCTTGTGACACTACGCAAGCCACTTTCCCTTTTTTGGGCTCTTCTAATCTGGAACTCTGGTCCTTCTGACAGGTTTTTTTTTTTTTTTAATTTATTCATATATATAGAGAGAGGCAGAGACACAGGCAGAGAGAGAAGCAGGCTCCATGCAGGGAGCCCGACGCAGGACTCCATCCTGGGTCTCCAGGATCACACCCCGGGCTGCAGGTGGCGCTAAACCACTGCACCACCGGGGCTGCCCCTTCTTACAGGCTCTACAACCTGGCTTGGGTGTGACACATTGGCTAACTTACTCCCTGGAGCCAGGAGGAGGAAGGGGCAGCTCCAGTAGCCAGGTGCTATCAGGACTTACCAAGGGGCGGATACTCTGAGAAGCTTTCCACACACATGGGCTTTCGTGGAATCATCTGAACAATGGCGGAGTCCCCAGACTTTAGGGCTTTGGGATGGTCTTCCAGCTTCTTGCCTGAGCGCCGGTCAATCTTCTCCCTGAGTTCTGCAAACTTGCAGGCAATGTGGGCCGTGTGGCAGTCCAGAACTGGTGAGTAGCCAACTGCAATGCTGCCAGGGTGGTTGAGAATGATCACCTGGAACCCAGAGTGGGATGGGAGCAGGGGGAGAGCTTTAGCCAAGCATCCTTCAAAGGAAGTAGCCCTAACCAGCTGAGGAGTCAGGCATCTTGGACACACTTCAAATTATAGTGAGCATTTGAACATTTATATAGTATACCAAATTCTGTCCTAAGTATATCTCATGCATTCCAATTTAATTTTCATAGCAGAGAGCCTGAGTAATTTACCCATGATGAAATAGCAGGGAAGCGGTAGAGCTAGGGATGAGTGATATAAAACCTACACACATACGTGTAATTTATGTTCTGCTTTCCCCCCACCATTTAGAAAAATGCATTGTAATAGCTAACTAACTTGTTAGGTGACCTGTTGGTCCCGGGTCAGCTGTTTTACATATCATCACCTCATGTAACTCTCCAAGGCTCACTGTGAGGTAGTGCCAGCCTCCACACGCAGAAGTAAGAATGTGCCAGACGTTGCCTTCAGAACAGCTTTCACATTCTAACTCTGGGCTGAGGAAACACCCAAGAGCTCTAACACAAGGATTCCCAGGTCCCACCCAAGTCTACTGAATCACTCCCCAGAACCATTAGGAAGAATGTTAGGGATCTGCGTTTTTGTTTTTGTTGTTCTTGTTTAGGAATCTGCATTTTTGAAACACTTCCCAGGTGATCTAATCCACCTGGCTTGAAAACTACTGCTTTAAGGCATTAAGACCATACTGTGGAAACTAATAAGATCATTGAACTGCATTTTTTTGTTAAAGGGCAAAATAGCAAATAAGCTGCATTCAGGATTCTAGGGCAGTCTGACTCTACCCACACTGCTGCTCAAGGGCCTAGCACGGATCATATGCTCAGTACTCACTTCCTGAATGATCCACTGAGCCACTCTGCTTGTAGGACAGGGATGACTGTCTCAGGAAACACCCCTTAAATGGGCCTCCTCACCTGGGAGATGAAGCTCGCCACTTCTAAGGGCGGATCATTCTTGCTGTCTCCTGCCACGTAGCCTCGCCTGATGTCCTTCACTGACACATTCTTCACATTAAAGCCCACATTGTCTCCAGGCAAGGCCTCAGCCAGGGCCTCGTGGTGCATCTCTACAGACTTGACCTCTGTGGTGATGTTGCAGGGGGCAAAGTTCACCACCATGCCTGGTTTGAGGTAGCCTGTTTCCACCCGGCCCACAGGCACGGTGCCAATGCCTGGGGGGACAGAGCAACCAGACCTGTCAGCAGCCAGACTTCAGTGAGCCCCCAACACCAAGGACCCCCACACAGCATGTACTCACCCCCAATCTTATACACATCCTGCAGAGGCAGCCTCAGGGGCTTGTCCATAGGACGGGCAGGGGGCATGATGGAGTCCAGTGCTTCTAGCAGTGTCATACCTACTATGTTTCCTTCCTTCCTGGTGATCTTCCAGCCTTTAAACCAGGACATCTGGAAAAGCCACCAAACATGCAGCTTGCTTAGGCTCAGGGGAGCCTGTCCCAGATGCCAACGTGTATTTAACATGGGACCTCAAGCAATTTTTTAATGTATTCTGAGCCTCAGCTTCCTCATCTATGAAACAAATATCACCACCTACTTTGCAGGCTCAAGTAAAGACACAAAAGACCACACACAACCCACCAAGCACAATGTTTGACATGTGCTACACACCCACTAAATGATGGCAAGGTGTTGCCCCTCATTTGAGCCAATATTCTTAGGAAGCAGAGATTTCTTGAATCTGATTAGCCCTTAGGCCTCATTCTGTTGATTACACAGGAGAAGCAGAGAAAACATGCAGCACAGTTAAGTAAGCATCAGGAATGAGAATGAAAACAATATTCAAATACCCTAACATTTATACCTTGTAAAGACTAGATGTTCCCCAACATCTTAGGCAAGGGCAGCATTATTGAGCATAAGTCCTTCTAGAAGGACAATCTTAAGGATAATAGTTCATTATATACTTGTCTTTTAAGTAGATACTTCTCTAAAAACCTTGGCCAAAGCTCATCAGAGACATCATATTTGCCTTCAGAGATATATCAGTTAACTGGAAATCCAGTTGGCTCCTTTCTTTGGACCAACTTCTCACTCAAACACCAGCCTCATCCATGAGGATAAGTTATTCTATTAGTTTGATGAACTTAGCAACTAACTTGGCTCTATGCCAACTCAGAGGCCTGAATAAGCATACAAGGTCAGCATCTTCCCTATCTTAAAAGTGGGGAAACTGAGGTCTCTGATAGTACAGGTATTTCTTGAAAGCAGAGGCTAAACCCTAAATCTACTATCTAGTCCACTGACTGCATGCTTTGTTCTTTTGCATCTAGAACATACTAGATGCCTAATGAATACCCACAGGGACAGAAGAATGAAATCTCCTTATTTCACTAGCTGAACTCTGGGAAATTCTTGGGAAATGGGCATCAAACTTCACGTTTTTATTCTACTGTCATTTTAGAAGGCCCCCTCCTTCACCACCCAATATAGAGTAACTCTCTCATACTGTGCCCCCTTATCCTTATGTTTTTCTTAGCACTTGTCATCATCCACTGTATTACTACTGCTCCCAGAAGACCCCAGTGCCATGAGCAGAGTTGCATCTCATTCGCTACCACACCCTCAGCACCAAGGACAGGGCCCCGCATGGAAATATTGAAGTACCATACAAATGAACACACTGCCAGTAGTAGTTCTATCTTTCCCAGGGACAGTTGGGCAATTTGTATCAGAAGACTCCAGGATAATGCCTACCCTTTGTTTCACTAGGAACTTACTCTAATTAAATGATGGAGGACGCATGCAAGGATTTGTTTATCAAGATGCTTACAGCAGCAGTTTTTAATAAAACTAGAAACACTATTCTTAGAAGCTGGTGACCTTGGGTAATTAACTACACTATAAGTTTTTTTATTTTAAAATTTGTTTATTTATTTGAGAGAGAGACAGAGACAGAAGCAGAAACAGGCTCCATGCAGGGAACCTGATGTGGGACTCGATCCCAGGTCTCTAGGATCAGTCACTGGACCAAAGGTGGCGCTAAATCGCTAAGCCAGGGCTGCCCAGTTTTCTTATTTTATATGGGAATAAAATGCCTTCTTCATGGGGTTCTGTGCATGTAAAGCGTTCAGTCTGGTGTCTGGTACATAGCAATTTCTCAATGCCATTTCACTTAATAGTGGATATGGCTACACAATCTATTGTAACTCTGATCTACAATATAAAACACTAAGTATTCAACATATTTAAATGGCAAAGAAAATTTCAAAAAGTTTCATAGAAAATTACATACAGTGTGAGTCCAGCTGTGAACATCTAGAAAGAACTGCGTGGAAACTAGGTTATCTATAAGCTATGAAGTTTATGCTTCATATCTGTATGAAAGGCTTATTGCAAAAATATTAGACATTACTTTTATAATCAGGAAAAGATTATGCTATATACATGGAAGAAAGGGCTAAGAATCTTCAAGTCAATTATGGCAAAAGGTGGGCTTTAGGCAGTAAAGTATTAAGAGATAGCAACTAACATTTGAGCACCAACTGTATACATGAACAGATTCCCATGTGGAGTCTCTCATTTAATTCTTACAGTCCCTTAAAGTGAGTCCTAACACCCAGAGTATTATTTCCTCTCTTACCCCTTTACTGTGGGCAAGGGAAAAAACTGGGGCTTCACCAGGTCTGATGCCAGAGTTAGAATTTCTTTGTAGGGAGACACTCATTTAAGAATTTTAAACCCTGTTAGATTCTGGGATCCATGAGCACAGTGAGTATATCTTAGACACATTTATATTGCCCCCACACTTCCTAACCTGCCTAGAGAGGTAGCTTAGATACTGTGAGCATGGACGAGAATTCCAGACTCTGCTGCACTGCTCGGTAGAACTTTCTGCAATGATGGAAATATTCAGTAACTTCACTGTCCAATGTGACAGGCACAAGTATTAGCTACATTTCAAGTGCCCAGCAACCACAACTAAGGAACTGAAATTATTTGATTTAAATTATTAAAGTTAATAGCTACATGTAACTAGCTATGACATTGCCCAATGCAGCCCTATGCTTACTAGTTGTGTAGTCTTGAGTAACGTCTGTTCATCTGAAAAATGGGGATCAAATCATGTACCCATGGGGATGAAGACCCTTCAAAGTGATTGGCCCATAAGCAAGCTGTAAATCCTGGGTATTATATTCTTGAAGAAGCTCAAAGATTTGAGTGGGAATGTTGCATTTAATTAGCCCTGTCCCGGTCAGCTCTCACCTTGGTGCTTGGTTCTATCATGTTGTCCCCATGCCAGCCTGAGATGGGCACAAAGGCGACAGCCTCAGAGTTGTAACCGATCTTCTTGATATAGGCCTTCACCTCCTTGCTGATCTCCTCAAAGCGTGCACTACTGTAAGGAGGCTCCGTGATGTCCATCTTATTGACTGCCACGATGAGCTGCTTCACGCCCAGTGTATATGCCAGCAGCACGTGCTCACGGGTCTGCCCATTCTTGGAGATGCCAGACTCAAACTCACCTACACCACTTGCCACAATCAGCACAGCGCAGTCTGCCTGGCCCAGGTGACAGAGGGAAAAAGGCCCAACTCAGATTTGGCCTGGGACACCCACTGCCAACCCCCAAAGCAGAGCCAAGACAACTCTGGGTGTACCTGTGAGGTGCCTGTGATCATGTTCTTGATGAAGTCACGGTGACCTGGGGCATCAATGATGGTGATGTAGTATTTCTTGGTCTCAAACTTCCACAGGGAGATGTCAATGGTGATACCACGTTCCCGCTCTGCTTTCAGCTTGTCCAGAACCCAGGCATATTTGAAGGAGCCTTTGCCCACCTGGGCCAGGAGAAGGAGGAAAACCCCAGTGTCACCTCTAATATCCAAAGCTGCCCATCAACCAGGAAGGAAGTTCCCAAATGAATGGAGAGTCAGAGGAATGGTAACAGGGCAGTGTATGGTAAGGCCTTTGAATTTTTCAAACAATAGTATTTATTACTTATATAATTAAGTTTTTCTTTCAGAGCTGGTTTTAGAGTCAGAGTGACCCAGGGCCAAGTGATAAAGTGTCTAGGCGGACATATGGACCTGGTACAGGGTCAGCAAGCCCTCAAATCAGTAATAGCAAATGCATAAATAATGCTGACCACATACCTGGTGCTGTTTTAAGTACTTACCATGGGTTATCTCATTCAATCTCACAACAACTTAGCAAAAATTTTATTATCCTCCTCTTGCAGACAAAGTAACAGAGAATTAACTGACCAACCCAAGATCATCTGATGAATAAAGAGCAGAGTCAGGATTTGAACCCCAAAGCATCAGACTCAAGTTCAAGCTCTTAACCACTACCCTCTGTTAAATGATATCTATGACTGATAGCTAGCCTGGTGAGGATGAGCTGCTTTCAACACTGGTAAAAACGAGGCTACCAAAAATCGGTAGCATATTCAAGTTAACATGCTGGTCTGGGGTATACTCTACCACTTGCCAGCTCAGGGGTCCTGAACATCTATTCATTTCAGCTCTAATTAGAGGGCAGAGTAAAGGAAAGACTGGAGACAGGCGGCTTCCTCAAGAACACTAATTAGTTTATTAAGATATAAACTAGTTGTCCTAACTTTTGCTACTGTAGGAACTTCTATTTTATGAAGTCCATTATAGTTTAGAATATTCACTAGATAAGCAGCTATCAAAGAATGGTCCAGGGACCCTGATACATTTTAGAGTTTGCGTGATCAAAACTATTTTTTTTATCAAAACTATTTTTATAATGCAAAGACATTATTTGCCTTTTCCCTCTCTCATTGTCTCATCATTGTGCAGTGGTGTTTTCCCGAGGCTACGTGACCAGTGAAATCACAACAGGTTGATTACAGAGGCTGATGAGAATCCAACTGTCTTCTATTAAGCCAGACATTAAACCTATCAACAAAAATATAAAACAACATCATCCTCCCAAGGTTTTGTTTTAGAAAATAATTATTTTTCATACACAAAGTGATACTTATGTTAATACATGGAGTGTATTACTATTATTTTTAAGTGATTTAGGCATTTTTAAACATCAGTTTTCATTTCAAATATCATAAATATATAGATTTAATTTACATAAACTAACTCTTTGGGGAGCCTTTAAGAATGCAAAGGGAAAAAAAAAAGAATGCAAAGGGTTCCCCACATCCACGTCCCTGGATTCCATTCATTACTCTCCATGCCCACTGCTGCTGCCTGAGCCTAGGCCACCATCCTTGCTCCTATGGTCAACAGCAACAACCTCCCAGCTGGCTTCCTAGCTCCTAGAGTTGGGCCCTTTGGCCTGTTCTCTCCATGCTGCAATCAATGTGCCTTCCTAAAAAGATCTTGCCTGGGACCCCTGGGGGACTCAGCGGTTGGGTGTTTGCCTTTGGCTCAGGGCGTGATCCTGAGATCCTGGGATCGAGTCCCACATCAGGCTCCCTGCATGGAGCCTGCTTTTCCCTCTGACCATATCTCTGCCTCTGTGTCTCTCATGAGTGAATAAATCTTAAAAAAAAAAAATCTTGCCTGATTCCCATCACTCCCATGCCTGAAATCCTTTAGCTGCTGCAGAGAAAGTGGTCGGGCTGTTTAGCAGGGCACTTGAGGCCACTGTCCCCTGTCCTACCAGGCAACAACTCTGCATCTCAGATGCTGTTCCAGTTTCCTTGTGGCTCACGGGCACCTGTCCCGCTTCCTTAAGGCTCAAAGGAAGTCCCTTCTTGGAATCCTTCAAGGCCTCTCAGGACATGTTCATTGTCCATGACCTAGGCTCCTACAGCACCCATGCTATTACCGAACTTATGATGTGATAGGAGAGTGTGTGACCAGGAGTTGCTTGCACCTACTATGTATCCATGGGGGCTACCCTAAGGATCCATGGTAGATGCATGAAAAATCCTTTCCCCTCTTTTAAATGCCAGCTTTAGCTCATGAGATACAGCGTGGCATCTGCATCACCCTGGGATTTAAACCTTGGCACCATCCTCAGGCAAGCTGTTTAACACCGCTAACCTCATCTGTCTCACCTGGAAAATGGCAGCCACACCACCTGTCTGACATGAGTGAGAGGGAAAGCACCTACCAGCCCAGCAGGTGCTCAGCAGAGGTGAGCAGTCTCCTCCCCCACAATGAGGCATCCCTCCCAGGGAAACCAAGGCTAGGAAGGAGGGCTGGGGGTGGGGCTCAGATAGAGCAGTCTCACCTCTGAGGCCTCCTTCTCAAACCGGTCGATGGTCCTCTTGTCAATGCCTCCACATTTGTAGATGAGATGCCCTGTTGTTGTGGACTTGCCGGAATCCACATGGCCAATAACCACAATGTTGATGTGGGTCTTCTCTTTGCCCATGCTAGGAGCTGCTCTGGGAAAAGACAGGTATGCTCAGAGCATGAATTGACCACCTCCTGTCCCTAATTCATCTTCCTTGGGACTGGGCCAGCTCAACCACCAGAGGGTGCAAGAGGAAAACAGTTGGCCTGGAGGGCAGAGTGGGGGCCTCTCCAACACCTCACACCTGAGGATGCTCTGGTCTTTTCCCCAGCCGCAAGGAGGAAGTGCCTACCTCCAAAGCCAGGAGAAGCCCCTCACGCCTAGAACAGACCAACCAGGCAGTGGGCCCCACCCACCCCCTTTCACAAACATCTCCAGCCCATCCTTCAAATCCCTTGTTCCTACTGGCCCACTGGCCCTGGGATACATGGGAAAAACACAGCACCCTTTTGACAGGGGGTGGTCTCTCCTTCTCCAGGTTGGGAGGAGGGCGAGGCTGCTGCCCACCAAATGGAGGCTCCTCTGGGCTTTTTACACAAGTGCTTCCTGGTCCTTTCTCAGCCTCACAAACTGCATGGATTTATCCCCGTCTCCAGCTGCTTGCATATGGCCTGTGGCAAACCCTGAGTTTGGGAAGTGAGTGCAGAATGACTCCTACGTTTTCAGGCCCTGACCCCCATATGCCCTGTCACCTTTATGCAGCCGCTAACTCTACCTGAGAGATGAAGGAGCTGTGCTCAGGGGCTGGGCCACTGGGAAGAAAGTAGCAGAACTCAAGTGTGGCCCCAGAGTCTCAGCCAGACTCCAGCGCTGCAAATTCATGCCCGAAGGAAGGCAGGCAGGGATAGGAGTCCAACTTTGCATGTTTCTGGGGTCCCAGCCTCCAGCACTGGCTTGCTGAAGGAATGTTTAGGGTAGGACCTGGGAAGAATATGAGGGGGGTGAGGGGCGAGGAGGGACAGTCTCCCACACTGAAGAGCTGGCCCAAGAATTGAGGACCAAGCTACTGGACTGTAGTCTGAGGCTAGTACAGTTCCGGCAGCCTCCAAGAGTTCCGAAACCATCTACACATCAGTTCGTAAGGACCAGGTTCTGTGCCTGGAGACCAGTTAGATGCAGGGAAAGGTGGCAGAGAGAACAGGTTTCTGAGAAGGCTTACCTAATCGGATTACAGCCCTGGCTATGCTGTTCTCACTCAGTAGTCCTGGGAGTCCAGCTATTTCTTGATGTTGAGGTGATTCAAGGAGATAAGCCTCCTCGCTCATAAATCTTGATGATGCTGATAATTGGTCTTTTAAAGAACTTATGACAAAGTGGGAACACATGGGGGCGCTCTAACTACAAACCACAGGTTAACCTGTTGCTAGAACGGGGCAGTTAGTTGGGAGCTGGAGGGCTGTACAGCACTGTGCCGGTCACACTGACCAACTCTGGCCCCTCCTCTTCGGATACAGGTGGTGGTAGAGAAATGATTTGTGAGTAGTTGAATCATGTAGCTAATTTCCCCTTCATTTAGGCTTTGTTTTTTACTAATTATTTGGCATCTTGGTGTGTTAACAGTTTCTTAGCTATAAGTCCCACAAGTTCATAAGAGGTAAAGTGAGGCCCTTGGGATCCTTGTGTTTATCATTCCTCCCTGGACTTTCAGCTCCTGCTTCTGAGTATCTGTGGATCATTGGAAAGGAAACTGGTTTTGGGTTCCAAAGACCAGGCAAGTCTCAGCTTTGCCACTTCGTGGCTTCCTCCCCCTTCCTCCTCTACCTTCTCTTCATTTTCCCCAGCCTAGCTCTTCCTCTCTTCTTGCAGGACAGAGGGGAGCTTCCTCCCCACAGGCAGCAGCAGGACTGCAGGGACACCAGCAGGTCCATTAGCAGATCCCCACCAGTGTATAGTCTAGGAGGTTCCCAATGCACGGAGGTGCACTCAGGAGCCAGGGTCTGAGGGACAATCCAGAGTCTAGAGACCCCACAGAGTCCTCAGGGTTCTAGAGGTGGGGGGGCTATGGAGGGAGTGAGTAGGGACTGGAGAGAGGGGGAGGGTACCAGGGGATCCTGAGCCATGGAAAGAGACAGCTTAGAAGAAGGCTTTGGAGCCAGAGACACCTGAGTGTGAATCCTGGCCTCAACCCTTAACAGGTGGGCAATTTGGAGCAAGTTGGTTGCCCTCTCTGGGCTTCATGTAAAATGGAGATAATAATCCCAGCTCACATATACTGAGCCCCCATCAGGTGCCAGGTACTGTGCTGAGCGCTTTATAGGCAATTTTCCATTTGCCCCAAGAAAACACCCTCTGAGGTAGGTAGTAATACTAATAATTTATACGGAAATGAAAGCAAAATTGTTTAATCTAAGAACACACAGGTCATAACTGGTGGAGACACAAATGGCCCAGGCATTCTGAGAACACTCAAAATTATTATTTCACAAGGTTGCTGGGAAATCAAATGGTATAATTTACATTTGTTAATTATTTTCACCAATTTGATAGGCAAAAAGGAGAGAGCTTAAAGCAATATCATTTTATATTTCCATAATTAGTAAGTACTTTCACAAAGTATTAGTTTTCTCCACATATCTTCTTGAATGAATTTTCTTTTTATCTTTTGATTCTTCAGCTAGTGGGGATTTGACATCAACTCCTTTCCCAAGAGATCAGTCTTCAAGCTGTAGGACTGTCCTATCCAATATGGTAGTCACTACCCACATGTGGTGACTTAAATTTAGATTAAAATTAAGTAAAATTTAAAATTCAGTTCCTTAACTACAATGGCCACCTGTGAAGTGCTCAAGAGCCACCATTTTGAACAGCATGGACCTGAAACATTTCTATCATCACAGAAAGTTCTATCAGACAGCACTGCTGCTGGAGAAATCAAGTCTTGTCTTCTGAAACCTTGAGATTGAGCCGTGGTGCCAGGAACTCTGCTTCTAGATCTGTCATGATTGGCTGGACTGCCTCAGACAAACACATACCTCTGGACCTTATTCTTTTTCTATAAAATATGGGCAGAGGTTAAAAGAGGTAATAAAGTCTTTTAAGATCTGACCTTCTGGGGTCAGTCCTGGGAGCTCTGGATTCAATTTCTGATGCCCTCTCCTTTAATCCCTCTAAGAATTCAAAGGTTTCAGCTGGCTCAATTATAAAGGAGGAGGTTTGGTGAGCTCATGGGCCCCCTGGCAGTTACTTACTGTGTATATCTTAAGGGACAGCATCTGATTGGATGTGGCCAAATCTGGGCCAATCAAAATCTCTCTAACTAGATCCTGGTTTGGGGATTTAGGGTCATTTAGTCTCTCCACATGGTAGAGACTATAATTGGGAGAAGCAGTTAGTGGTAGCTACCGTGGTGGAGAAACTAGTCTAGAGGAAGATAGGGAGAGGGAAACAGCAGACCTTCAGGGAAAAACAGTAGAATCCCCATGTCAAGCTCTTGGAATCTTTGAGACACCACTAAGTGTAATAAATTCTTCCCAATTCCTTCTTTTCTATCAGCCTCCAGTTAATTTCTTCTTTTTTTCTTAAGGATTTTTATTTACTTATTTGAGAGAGCGCACACACAAGCAGGAGGAACAGCAGGCAGAGGGAGAGGGATAAGCAGACTCTCCACTGAGCAGCGAGCCTACGACTTGGGGCTTGATCCCAGGACCCTGGGAATATGATCTAAGCCAAAGGCAGACACTTAAAACTGAGCCACCCTGGCACCCCAAGCTCCAGTTAATTTCTATTGCTTGTCACCAAAGACTCCTAACCCATGTCGGTTAAGGCAAAGGGGTTTGGCTCATTATCGTTCTGAAAAGTTGAGTGAGTTTTCAGCTGAAAGAAAGAGAAAGCTAAACAAGAACACCCTCCCCCACACACACCAAGAACAAACTGAAAGGAAAACAATCTTCAGTTGTTAGTTTGACAGATGTTTCTTGAGCACCTATATTGTGTCCAGAGCCTTATATACATTACTTTATCTAATCTTCACAAAAACCCTTGAGAGGTAATGCTTTCCTCATTTCAGAGGGAATGGAGGGGCAGAGAGATTAGGGGGCTCATGCAAGGACACACAGCTGGTGAATGGCAGAGACACTGCATCAGGGCTCAGTGAGATGACAATAAGGGCTTATCTGCATAAGCACAGGGTGTGAGTGAGTAGGTTTCCTGGGTGGGGACCCACTTGGCTCAGAAAGTAAAGCAAGTCAGAAAGATCACATGAAGTATGACTCAGTTTTTCTGGCTACAAAGAACACAGCAACCTTTCTACAGTTCAAAGTGGGGAAGGGTAGATTGGTGAGGAAAGTCCTCTAAAATAAAAAGCACTTGTAATCTCAGTATCTCTTGTTTTCCATCTTCTTAAGATTTCTCTTACTATAAAGGTTCCCAGACTGAGTAAAAATTATTCCTCTCTTAATTCCATGGAAAATGTTAGAGGGGGTAGGAGAGGGAAAAGCAGTCCCCATATCCATTCTGGAATCCAGAGTTTACTTTGCAGTTCCATCACCTGCATATACAAGGATCTGTTACAAATCAGTAAAAAGAGGCCCTACAAACACACAAATAGGCAAATAGCCAATAAACCAAGAAAGAATATTTAACATTTGGAGGAGTGAAAGAAAAGCAAATTGAAGCAACATACCATTGTTTACCTTTCAGGTTTTCAAGAAAAAAAAAATCCTAAACAATATAGTTGGAGAAGATGTGGGAAAATGGGCAAAATGGGCACTTTCATACTTTGTTGATGGGAGTGTCAATATATACTTTCTATAGGGCATTTTGGAAATCTGAATCTAGAGCCTTAAAATATGCATCCTTTTTACTCAATTCAATTGTAGATATTTATCAAAAGGAGGTACAGGGACACCTGGGTGGCTCAGCGGTTGAGCGTCTGCCTTTGGGGGGGGGCATGATCCCAGGATCTGGGATTGAGTCCTGCAGCGGGCTCCTTGCGGGGAGCCTACTTCCCCACCCCCCCACCCCCCGGCCTGTGTCTCTGCCTCTCTGTGTCTCTCATGAATAAATAACATCTTTAAAAAAAAAAAAGGAGGTACAATTATGGGGGTATTCTTTCTAGAATTGTTTATAACAGTGGGAGT